TCTTTGTGTGTGTGTGTGTGTGTGTGTGTGTGTGTGTGTGTGTGTGTGTGTGTGTGTGTGTCACACACACACAAACTCGCAGGGAAGAGAATGACATGAACACAGAGCAGAGGAACAGCGACGAGCGAAAACGAAGAGGGCGGCCGACACTCACCTTGCGACGGGGAGCGAAAACGAAGAGGACAGGAGGTTGGCCTTTCACTGCGTGTCAAGAAAAATAGCGGCAGCACGTCAACAACAACGGGGTTCGAAATTGAATTCAAATTTCCAACGCCTCACTGCTACAGAGGCAGCAGAGGAATATGGGTGCCCCTTACGAGGGCATATGGCGCAGAGCCCAATGGAATGGGACTGTCAGTTGAGGGAGGGTGTCCTGGAAAGTTGCGCCCACTACCGACGGGGGCCTACCGAAAAGATTTTTAGGCCCGGGGGCGCAACAGGGTAAATCGGTTGGCGGACGGGCATTATCGCCGCAAATACCCTTACAAGGGTATCCGCCCTGGTTTTTGCAAGTGACAGAAAATAAGTTTGGTTTAAAGTTTAAGTATACCACGCGAGGCGTGACTGTGTCCTGATTTACGATGATTGAATGGATGACTAGNTTGCAAGTGACAGAAAATAAGTTTGGTTTAAAGTTTAAGTATACCACGCGAGGCGTGACTGTGTCCTGATTTACGATGATTGAATGGATGACTAGAGTAGGGAGYGTGTGGGCGCGCAGACTTAAGGCGCGCGTGATTTTTTTTCCCTTTGATGATTGTGAAAATCCACGTTGGTCGCCAGCCAKATTTTTATTTCTGATTAAACTAGGATTAAAAGGGTTTTGTTTCTTGATTGGTTCGCTTGCCTACGACTTATGCGTACGTGCGGAGGACGGGATCAGCARCAACGTGATTTTGAAAACGTTTCGGTAGATCTATGTGTCGAGCAGTATCCGCTTATTTAGGTGTCCGTCAATGCTAGACCAAGCCTTAGGCCTAGTACTATTGGTTATGGTATCGGGCTTCCACCCGAAAGATTGAGGGATCGAGATCAGCAGACGACGTCGAAGGAGCGTTGGAGCGGCGAGGASAAACCGAAGGGTTGAGGGCCCGACGGGGCTATCCCCCTTGGTTTTGTCGTCGGAACAGTATTAGTGATTCCTGTTWCTCGTCTTTCGTTTTTCTGACGACTAAAACTTTCCTACGTATTTTTTGTTTCTCATCATTATTTTTATTTTTATGTTTCGGYTTTTTGAGATAGGTGCGATGTCGGATTTAAGGGTCGTTACAGTGGCCAAGGACCTTGAGCGCACGTCTTCGTTGGTCAACCTACGGGTCCCGCGTGTTCAGCATGCTGATGAARTTTATCTATCCTACCCAACTCAGGGACGTTGACCGTTGGTGGTCAGCGAGCATGCAAGCCAGTGAGTGATTAGTCCACCAGGTGGAAGAAAACCTGAGTGGTAGGGTTTTTGGTAGGCGCACCAACCGCCGCTCACTATTGCA